TCACTCCATGAAGAAAAATTAAAAGAAAACCGTACAATAGCAAATAGAATTGGCTTCTCAATCTTAGAAAAACACAAAAAAAAACTATCAAGAAAATAAAAACTATCTTCTTCAAATTCACTAATGAAACAACTGAAATTGCTCGCTATTATTTGAACTCTTCTTACAACAGTTGAGCTCAGACAAATGATACCTCACTGCATCCGAAAATTCGCAAAAAGTAGGGGGGAATAGTTTTCTATAGAATTCTTCAGATTATAAAGTATTCATTAGCAATTGTTCTTTCTATTGAACTCATCAGCACAGGTTGAATGCAGGTCATCTTGTCATGAGGTTGTCATTTAGAGTGATATTGAAAAGAGAAAGTTGAATGATGAGTAAATTTATAAGAAGGCTAATAATTCGACAGAAAGTATAAAAGCATAACAAATGTAGTAAAAAATATTTTAATTCTTTTACCAGGTACAAATTAACTCACTGAAAGCACATAAAAGAGTGTGACCGGCAGACGATGAAAGATTACGAGTACCAGCCAAATATTCACATTAAAATCCGCCCTATGAACCATTAACAATTTAAAAGTTGAGAATTTTAATTTATTTCCACCACAACCCCAATGAATATCCTCAATTACCAAAGGTGAGAAATGTAAAGCTCAATCAGCACAACACCTCAGCCCCTTAATAAATCAAGAAATAATTTTTCATGACAATTAATTCACAATCTAATAAATTACAAAGGGAACAATTACCTGAGCTTTCCAATTGGCTTCAGCATCCTTCTTCTGTTTACTCACAGCCGAATCATCCTGCATATAAAACAAAAACAAGTCGAAACAAAACCTCAATCCAAAATTCTGTGTATTAAAAAAAACAAAACCCAGAAAAATACACAAAATTACCGGGTCGTAGGAAGCGCGAGTGAAGCCTGGGGGGTCCGGAATGTCGCGGGAGGAATTGGAGGTCGAATTGTCCGTAAATTCCACAGCCCATCTGCGGCCCGAGCCCATTACTGCTTTTCCCTTGTCCATAGATGTAATTACGCAGAGTTTCACACACCCAGCGTGTTTGTGAGTGTGTCGGAATATATGATGGGTGAATTTACGATCCGGCAGTGAGTAATCCGAGGTTTCTGTATGTGTGTATTTGACGGCTCTGTACAGAAGATCTAATTCCACTGTACTTGGGGTTCAGAGTTGATAATAGGGTCTGTTTGGTTGTGGATATAACTGCTTTTTTTGGATTTGGCTTTTTTTGGGTTTCTTTGTTGTTGAAATTGAAAATATTGACGATTCAAATTTGGCAAAAATTATTTTGGCCATAAGCTAGCCTATGTATTTAGTTTGATTGACCCAAAAATAAAAGGATTTTGCTACTTGTACATAAAAAATGATATATAAAGAATTATATAAATAATATGAAGTGAAAATATTGGATGAAAAAGTTGACTGTGTTTTAAACTGATGATTAATATAGTGACATATTTATCATTATGTAACACATTATATAAAGTTTAATGTAGGTCCAAATAAAAAAGGACAACTGTTTGATAGGACAAACGTAGACTATTTACCGTGTTAATCACTAAAATAGATTTTAAGCATGTTTGGATACAATTTATAAACCGTCGAACTAGCTTATAAGTCCAAAATTCACACAAACGTGCTGTCTTAATTATAAGAAAAAACAAGGCCAAGGCCGCCTTAAACGCATTAGAACTAAAATATCGGTCCCAAATCGTTTTTCTTGATTCTTTCGATTTTTTCATCTTGACGTTTTCGATATTTATTTCATTTCGTAAAGTATTTTTAAAAAGAAATTACTAGGAATAAAACGATTTCATATCAATAACTCATTATTCACACATCTATCCATATCAAGAAAGACCCTCAATTGAAAACCTTCGTCATTTAAATCTTCTCGATCATCCTTAATACATCAATTCAACGAAACCTTAAATTTATCACTGAGCTCTGAATTCATTCATATTTTCTAATACGAATTTTTGTCACAGCCCCACACCCCATTTCCATAGACAATTCATATAAACAGAAGAAAGAAAATATTCACACACACAATAGTCAGGTTGAAAATTATTTCTCTATACATGTATGTTTCTGTTTAGTATGATTGCAAAGTATTCTTGATAATGTATGTTGAGTTCTTAATTAATCATGAACTTGCAACTATGGGAAATCAATCAACAGTAACATGCAAATTAATGCATTTGTAGGTAATCACCTATTAGTATATGAATAATGCTGAACAAACAGGGAAAAAATAGACTGATGTGACATCCTATGATTGAGTGTTTTTATGTTGTTTTCCAATTTCCAATGAGAATATGCCAAGTGTTACCTGAAAATGAATTTCTATTACTAACTCTAGTTATGTAATATGGTTGATTAGTATATAGTAGAAAGATTTATCGGACTGTGAAAGTCTCATTTTTGACTAAATTAAGAAAGACAAGCTTTGCTATGAAAAAAAAAATGGACGATAACCCATGTCATATGTTGTAGACCATGGGACACCAACGAATAAGGAAGAGATTTAGGCAACTTCATAATCTTAATTGACCCACTAGTCGATGCAATCTAGGTTTTCAATTGTACAAGCATGGCTAGGATACACCCCTGCCCCCTAAACACAAGAAGAAAAGCTAGATAGTCAATCATACCAATCTACGAGGTTTTGTTGACACTAAATTAGATCTAAATTATAAGTCAGTTACTTTTTAGACCCTATTTGACCCTATTAGAATTATAATTTATTTCTCATTTTCTTATAAATCACATATTCTTCAATAAAATAATACTACTCATAACCACAAAACTTTTTCTTTTTTTATAACCACACATTTTTCAAAAAATTATTATTCTAAAATATATTTTTTTCCAAATTTTCATTATAATGGTGCCAAACAAGGGCTTAGTAGTGTTATTTATTTTTGAATCTCGTTTTGCCTTTTCCCTCTGACTTGGCAGTTCAATTTATTTTTTTGAGTTTCACCACTTATTTAATTTATTAAATCACACTGATTATTTGTCAGCTGCTTGTTACCTACTATATGAACATTCATTTTGCTTAAACTTTGTGATTTTATAATGATCACTTTGTTGACATTTAATATTGGCCATACACATGACAATGTGATGAAAGTTAATTTGCCTAAACTTTTATAAAGCATTTGTTCGTCTGAGCCCCATTTTTGGGGAAAAAATAAATTTTTGAATAGTACATTGATGAAAAATGTGTGTAAAAATTAAAGAAAAATTTTATATTTACGTGTAATATTATTTTATTGAAGAATGTGATTAAAATGATGTCAAAACACTGTAAACAAATTCATTTTTTCCCAAAAAATGGGGATCAAATAAGGGCTTTATGTATTATCATTTGTAAAAATTCAATTCCCGATGTCTAAAAATTACAACAACTCTAGTTACTATTACAAATTTAAAAAATTAAAAAAATTTCTTGATACAAACATATCAACTTAAGATGTGAGAAAGATTCATATCGGAATTCACCTTAAAGCGTCAGCAGTATATTTCATTGCAGTTTGCATAAGAAAGACATCCCGTCACATTATTTTTTTCTATGTGCCTGTGGCATTATATACATTTTAAGTTAAATTTATTGGATTAACATTCATCTCCTTTTACAAGAAAACAAATCCGAGAGATTTGCGATAATAAACCCTGCAAATACCTGAATAAAACACACTAATCAGTCGAACTCTGTTCAAAGTTCTAAGAATGATATGCACCAAGAAGAGAAGTATACCTGTATGCATCCAAAGATGTATATGGCAGAGTAATGTCGTCCATGGACGAACATATCTGCTAACATCGCTAATGGTATTGTTAAGGACATGCCCAAAGTTGCAACTAATGGGGTCGTCCAAACAACAGAGAGCGCCCTGTTTCATAGTCCGGTTCAGACATGTTACCCGTGCTGGTCGAACATAAATATGTAACTATATGTGTACAACTCCCTTGTTTTACTAATAAAACGACAAAGGAAAATTTTGAAATACTTTAAGGGTGTGTTTGCTTGGAATGAAAAATATTTCCTAAAAANTGTTTTACTAATAAAACGACAAAGGAAAATTTTGAAATACTTTAAGGGTGTGTTTGCTTGGAATGAAAAATATTTCCTAAAAAAGAAATTTGTTATCATTGTTTGGAGGAAAAAAGCCTACCTAATGTCTTCCTCAAAAAAAGGAAAACTAAGCATACTTTCAAAGGTCAGAAAATATTTTCCATGCAAAAAGCTAATCAAACACTCCAAAAGTTGGAATTCGAGTAGAAAAAGGACATTTTTCATGAAAAATTTTCCAATCAAACAAACCATAAATTCTGAGGGAAAGTTAAATCAGTATCTTCATATACTTAAAAGGCTAGATTAGGATCGCCATAGAGAAGTCAGTGTGCTGTTGAGTAGAGAATGTGTCTCGAAGATGGGTGGATGAGACGAGCCATTTGTCGGAAACAATAGAGATTTTTACGTCCAAATTGATCAACGTAGAAATTTAACATAAGGAAATGAGTTAATACCATAGATAATCTGATAGAACACTTCCAACGAAGCCATTGAGCACCACAACTTTGCTGGTGGATGCTGAACTAGGAAAGCTGAACTTTGGCTCTATTCCAAGGGCATTAAGCGGCCATGCTGCCACACCAGAAAAAATTATTATGACAGTAAGAAGAAGATAGAACACGCGGAAAAATAATAATAATAATAATAATAAATAAATAAAATAAAAATAAGAGTTTTGACAAGTTACAACATGGGAAAGCATCCGTCCCTGAACTATAGAAATAGGAAAGGAACTACACAGAAAATATGGTCTCTTACCAAGCCACCAGAGACCCAAGAGAGTAAAAAGTCCAATATATCCAAAGAACTTCTGAACATCAACCCTTTCTCCCGATCCAGCAGATCTCTTGAGCAGCACTGTGAAGTACCGTTAAATTATAAGGCAAGTGAGACAAGAAAACGGTATTATCGATTTAACTGGATCAAACTATTTGATTAAAATTAATAATTCTTTGTCAACCAAAATTTAGATCTACCTGTAAACAAGCCATAGAACACTGCGGAGAGAAGACCAAAAATGTCTCCAATAATAGAATGCCTTCTAGTCCTACGTGAAATGAGAAGCAATTGCAGGCAAAAGTTAATCTCCATTAAGATTACCAATAGAAACATTGAGTAACTAAAACGATATGATCATGACCCCAATAAGACACTTATAATTAGCTCTGGTGATAGATGGAATCGGTTTAGTCATCACGGTTTTCGCACTTCCTATCTGAATATGTTTAGCGGCATGCTATGTAGCATGGATACTCTAACTAGGGTAGCGTGTCCGTGTCCGTGTCCGACACGTGTCGGATACGTGTCGATACCGACACTCTTCGAATACTCTACAATAATCATTTTCCTTTCTTACTATAACTATTATATATTTTTAATTCAAAGTTTTTAATAAATAACAAATAAGTGCTCATATTTAAAAGATTTCAACAAAAAAAAAATCAATAATAAGTATAAAACTAAATTTAAACTACATAAATTGAAGAATTTTAAAAATTTAATGTACGTGTCGACGACGTGTCGTGTCGGTACTTTTTTGAAAAACCACGAGTCGACGTATCCGACACGTATCGTGTCGGACACACGTGTCCGTGTCGGTGCATCATAGGCGGCATGCAATCATTTTGTGTTGCACTCGAATATTAATTTGAAATCGGAAAAGAATATAAACGGTCTGAATGCCAAACATAACTGCTATATTATACTGTTTCCATAAATGCAGGTGCAATTTTTTCGTAAAGGAGAGTGTAAATAATGCATATGAACGAGCATAATGACAAATGAAAGTTTACTGCAGCTGAAAGGTACTGACTCAACTTACTCGGAGACACTAAGCATTTCATCAGGTGCCCACGTTTTCCCCATGGTAGTCATTGCAACACCAGTCATGCTGATCAAAACAGCAGTAACCTTAACAACATTTACGGAGTCCTTCCCAATTAGTGCTCCAAAGACAAGTGTGAAGAGCCCTGATGTTGAGGTCAAGATGGTTGTGCTTGCAACACTCGTATTTGCCAGGGCGGAATTTGACAAATACTGCATGCAATACATCAGAGTAAGAAAACCAGTTGAACTCCAGAAACAAATAACAGGGAGAAAAACTATAACGTTGATCTTATTGAAAACCGAAGCTATAAAGAACCACCAACATTTTTCCTTTTAATGCTTGGAGGTACATGGTAATGAGTGTCCCGTATCAGATGGTGCACTCAGAAATTCAATAACCAGTTCATTGAGCCATATTTCTGAACTAATTACTAAGTAAAAGAAACATTTCCGAAATTAGTTGTATTTGGTGTTATTGAATTAGATATTAATTAGAAAAAGCAAATTATTTGCATATGATTACCTCAGTAACAAACCATATGGGAGCAAGATATAAGCTACATTTAATGACTTCCAATGAGCTGACTTTGTTTGGATTGTCAAGCATGTTAAACTCCTCATCTTCTGAATCTTTGAATAACAATGGTTGTCCCGCTTCTGTGTCACCCAAATTCATGTCCGTACCAAGATAGTTCTTCAAAGCTCCATCTGAATTGTACTGTGCTTCATCGACTCTGAAAGGAAAGTGTAGCTCAACCAATGAACTAGAGAGATAATCCTCACCATGAAGTTCTGTAGTCCGATTCCTGTTCAGTGAATTGGAAATCCAATCTTTGCAGAATGCTACTGGAAGGTAGACAACCATTAGAGATATCCACAGATATGTAAGAGCAAACGGCTGTCTGTAGTCTGTGAAAATTTTCTGCAAAGCTTCAAAAAAGTCAAATTTAACTCTGGAGCCCAGAAGTATTTAAGGGTTGCATCAAAAGGGAGCAGCTGACCAAAATTTTAATCACAAAAGAAATTATAATAATCGAAATAATAGTGGCACCAAACATTAAATTGAAATTAGACCTGCAGCTTTAACAATATGGTCTAATACTGGATGCTGTCAATTTTTTCCATCAAGCATAATTAGTTAATTAATCTTTTCTGACTTAAAACATATAGGTAATGACGAACTTCATATCTGATGCTCTTAAACCCTCAAACTTCTTAAGTTTTAGTTTGCCTCCTTCTCTAGATAACATAGTTCAGTCCAGGTATTCGACAACTTTAGACAGTCTCTTTTTGGATATCATTTATTCAACAAGAAAAAGTACATCTCCAACATGTTTCTAGGAAAGAAAAAGATATAAGAATACTTATAGATATCCCTTGTATATTCAGTTTGGAAATGTTGCCTCCAGCTAATCTAAAGCACATGTTTTCTTTAGAGACTCCCGTCCATTAAAAAAGACTGAATTGTTAACAAAAAATCCAATCAAAACCATAACTTCCATAATCTCGACCGCCAATATAGCACTATCCCTTGTACACCTTCACTTTGCTAAAATTTGCAAGGAAAAGACTATGCCTCATTGATATCAGATCCTAAAAATTACTCTTCTTGATCATTCCTACATTTCAAAAAATAATCCAACTACCAAGATCCATATGTTTCCATTTCCAGAAATTTGTAAAACCAAAATCCTAAAAGCTTCTGCTACAATTCACAAAGCATGTGGCTCTACTGTCCAGACTACTTAAAGAAAATATATAATCAGAAATCATATAAAATATGCACAATTGATTAAATTCAATGAACAAAAAGACGACATACAAAAACAATAAAAAA